TTTAAGCTCTTCATCCATTCATCCAAATTAGGCCTTAACATGCATGGATTGCATGAATTATGTTCTCCAAAGCCATCATTATTACCTAAAGCTCAATGAACTGAAAGATAAACACAAAAAGGATTAAAAGCACAAGTTTAACTCAAAAACATAACCAAATCATAAGCTAGAAGGGTACAAAATGATATACAATTATGAACTGATCAAGCAGCCCCCTGCTCCTCCTTGTCTACTCCTTGCAGCAAGCATGCTTCTAGTGAATGTGGAAGACCATCAAATCTCTCCTTCCCTGGATTGTCCAATACTTCAATTTGAAAACAATCTTGAACATCGTTTGGAAGATTCGTGGCATCAAACACTTTGAAAGCAACAGTTTCTCCATTAACGGTCATGGTGAGAGTGCCTTGCGCTATATCTATCGTGGTCTTAGCAGTAGCCATGAAGGGTCGGCCAAAGATGAGGGGCAATTCATTGTCAGGAATTGGTGCTTCTTCCATCTCCAAGACTAAGAAATCAGCTGGCAAGATTAAGCCTTCTACTCTCACCAAAACATCTTCCAGAATGCCCTTGGGGTACCTAATAGTTCTATCTGCCAATTGAATGCTCACAGATGTGGCTTGCAACTCACCAAGGTTAAGTTTCTCATAAACATGATATGGCATAAGGTTAATGGATGCACCGAGATCAAGCAAAGCTTTTGGAATCTTGAAATCACCAACAATGCAAGGTATAGAAAACGAACCTGGATCCTTTAGCTTTTGAGGTAGCTTTCTTTGTAACACTGCACTTACCTCTTCACTTAATGCAACCTGTTCATGCTCTGTGAATCTCCTCTTGTTAGTGCATAGATCCTTCAAAAAAATTGCATATTTTGGAATCTGAGCAATGGGATGTTGATTTGCACCTTCTTGAATATTTCCATTATCTCATCCAAGCCTTGATCTTTCTTTGACTTTGATAACCTGCTGGGAAAGGTTGCAATAGGCCTAGAAGCATTAGTTGAAATTGGAACTTGATCAGCATTAGATGATACCTTAGGGCCTGTGCTCTTTCCAGAAGGATTGAGGGACTGTTTGTGGGAAGTTGTGGGCTGCCCTTGTGGTGGCTGAATGATCTCCACGTTTTCTCCATCTTGCTCTTCATTGGCATCTCCAACCTTATTATCAACTTGTTTACCACTTCTCAAGATGTGCACTGCTTTAACTTGCTCATGATGCCTTGGATTAACCTCTGTTTGGCTCGGAAAAGTTCCAGATGCTCTATCGCTCATGGAGGATGCAATCTACCCAACTTGCACTTCTAGTTTGTTCACTGCATTTTGAAGATTCTGATTGGTTTGCATATGTTGCCCCATGAACTTCTTGAACATGTCTTGCAATTCTCCCATTTGATCGCCTCTTTGTCCTTGCACTTGTTGGGGAGCTTGCTGGAATTGCCTTTGTTGTATTTGGAATCCTGGGGGAGGTCCTTGATATTGTTGCACATTTGAATTATTGCTCCACCTGAAATTAGGATGATTTCTCCACCTCGGATTGTACGTGTTTGAGTAAGGATCATTCTGAGGATTCCTTCCTTGAAGGGCATTTGCTTGTTCTAACATGTGGTCCGCAAAAGATTGGTCTTGAACTTCCACTTTGTTTCCTAGAGGGCCAGTCACTACCTGTTGAAGCAAAGAACACATAACATCAAGTTTTGCAGTAATCTCATTATTAGTACTTACCTCAGAGACCACAGCTTTCATAGGAGCTCCTCTTCCTTTATTGTAGCTCCATTGTTGAGAGTTAGCACTCAAAGATTCAAAGAGAGTAAACGCCTCATCTGCTGTTTTGTTCATCAGTCCTTCTCCACTTGTTGCATCTACCATCATCCTTTCGGAATCAGGCAAACCTTCATAGAAAGATTGCATTTGCATCCAACTCTCTATATTGTGGTGTGGGCAAGAACTCATCATCTCCTTGTACCTCTCCCAGCATTCATGAAAAGCTTCTCCTTCTCTTTGTGTGAAACCAAGAATTTCCTTTCTAATCTTGTTAGTCTTTTGAGCTGGAAAGAATTTATGCAAAAACTTATTAGAAAGCTCATCCCAAGTACGAATTGAAGCATTAGGCAAAGAGTATAACCAAGACTTAGCCTTATCTTTTAAACTGAATGGGAATAGCCTCATCTTAATCTGCTCATCATCAAGTCCTTGAAATTTGATTGTAGCACATATTTCAAAGAATTGCTTAACATGCATGTACGGATCCTCAGTGGTATTACTATAATAAGTCGGAAGAAGATGAATCATACCACTTCTAAGCTCAAACATGTCAATTGTGAGTTGAGGATAGACGGTGCACGAAGGTTGATCAGTGACTTTGGGAATGGAAAATTCACGCAGGGGTTTCCGAGGTTGGACAACAAGTGCACCACCTCCATCATCATTATTGTTGTTGTTTGGAATCTCTGCCATCTTGCTTAAACCTTCATATTCGTAGCTCTTAGATTCAGCGCTTGAAGAACTATAATTCCTCCTTAAACCAGTACGTACAGCAAAGTTCTTGGTGAAAGTGGCTCAGTATCAGATTCAGACATATATGCACACACAAGAACCAAATTAGTGCCTTCAAATGGAGATAACAACTAAAAAGAAAAACAGAATACAGAAAAAAAAAAAACAACGAAAATAACAACTAAAACAAAAACAAAAACACTCAAAGTAATCTAACTATAGCACCATCGTTACCGGTTCCCCGGCAACGGCGCCAAAAACTTGTTGAGCCTATTCCTAACAACTAAAATGAGTTACTAAAAATAGCAACTTTAATTCTCGCAAGTGCACGAACCGTTTATAGTATAGCTTATGTAAATACGAGGTCGATCCCACGGAGAATGGTAACTTGGTTCCAAGTTAAATTACTTAGAATGCTGGAAAAACAGAAAATAAAGAAACTGACTAACTAACTAAAGGCAAGGTCGAATTCAACAATGCCTCTTGCTAATTACTCAAGGTCTAGGATAGAATCCTAGCACCACACACGCACTCGAAATGGGGGGTTTTGTTGTTGAAATGAAAACAAGGAAGTGAAATGAAGTTGTTGGAAAGTAAACAATAGCAGCAATGAACAAGTTGTGAAACAATGATTGAGAAGTGTTAGAGCCTTGGAATCTACCACTAGTCTTCCTATCCAAGTTATGAATGCATAGAAATTGACTCAAGCTTCATTAACAATAGATTATCGCATACAAGCCTATGGTATCTAGGTGCAGGATGCATGATTCTCCTAAGGCATGTAATTGTGCATGGTATCTACACAACACGTGATCTCTAATATGCAACCTAAGCATGGTATCTACTTAGAATAAAGCATACAAGAGTCATTAAGTTCCTTGAGAATATGATAATCACACAAGTCCTAGAACATGGTATCTGTCCTAGTCAACCTATGGTTATTAACCCCTTGAATGATTCTTAGGCCATTCATGTGTTGCTTGTGAAAGGAGAGTAGAATTGGTGAATCTAAACCCCTTCCCAACCTGTGCTAGATGCATAAAATCCTAGTTAGCTACTCCAAGAAAACATACATCAAGCACATAATAAACTGGAGATTAACAACTTGGCAATGAAAGCAAGGAAATCAATTAACTATGAATTCATCCATAACATTGAATATTCATGACTAGGGCTTCATCCTAAGTCCTAACTAAATGGATTAGTTAAACATAATTATGAATACAGAAAATAAGAAATACATAGATAGAATAAAGAGAATAGAAGAACTAGTTGGTGGCAGCAAGGTAGTTCCCAGGACAGCTCCAAGCGCTCCCTCCTTTGCAGCTAGCTCTCTTCTCTCTTTGTGGTGAATCTGAATGTGTGTATGTATGAAGTGAATGTGTGAGAGGGGATTGTGAATCTCAGGATATGATTGATGATAGTGTTTGGAATGGAAGTTATATTTATAGGGAGAAGGGAGTGATAAATCTGAATTCAATATGGCTAATGCATAAACACTTGTATTTAGAAAATCAGAATTGGTTGCTGCACTTCACCAATAAATCCCACCAGCAGCCATAGCTCATCTTCATGTCAGCATGACCAAGCATCCATCAGCTCATCCTCATGTCAGCATGATGTGTATTTTAATGGGCTCACGAATTGGGCTTGGTTGAATCAAAGATGACTTTAAGATATCCATTTTGAAGTTCAGAATGTCTCTGATCCAACCACACAAGCATTGGCCCAATCCAAGCTCGGATGAAGACAATAAGGCCGAAATGAACTTCTAACTCAGTCTCCAGTTTTTGCACGTTTTTGCACCATTTTGCTTCAAATGCCTCAAGTGGTATTCCTCTCATGCCAATCAGCCCTTAATATGCATGGATTGTACCAAAAGTGATCTCTTGCTGCCTTAACCTACAGAACACACAAACATAGGTAAGTGACTCGAAATAAAGAGAAACTATACAAAATTACTAAGTAACGAAGGCATGCAAATGTGTGAAATTATGAACTTATCAGTGCTTGACATTTGTTTATGGTGTTTTTTCTCAACTGTTTATGTTATTAGGCTTCATTATCTGGTTTGTGGATTTTATCAGTTCCATGTGATTCGTTCCCTTCAAGCAAAATTAATAGGTGTTGCTTTCCGTAATTGTTACCTCAACATTTAGAGAACAAAAACGAGTGTGAGTTTCCACTCTCTATCTGATTTCCACAACCCAGATTTTTGTTTCATTACTTTGATTTTGAAGTTGCGATTTTTTGAGCAGTTAATGGAGTCGAACCAAGCCAAACCCGGCCTACTGTGCAACCATGAAGCCTCTCAGAGAACTCCGTATTCTATTCACACACTTTCTCGCTTTTCTCATTTTTATTGTTAAATTTATGATGCGTATTTTTGGTATGTGTATACCTTATGGTATTTGGGGTTTTGGGGATTTTGCTTTCTATATGACATTTCAATCCTTTAATTCTTTTTTTTAAAATATAATTTTTTGAAGGTACCCATATGTAACTGGTACATCTGTGGTGGCTCTGAAGTACAAAGATGGAATTTTGATGGCTGCTGATATGGGAGGTTAGATGCCAATCCAATTTAGATTGTGTTTCAAATTTTAATTATTTTTTTGACATAAAGGTTAAAGTCCATCGCTTTATGAACAATGCTCATCATCTCTTCTTTTGGAGTTTCAATGCTGTTTACGTTGCAAAAGTTAGACACCCATGTATGTTCCTTTTCATGGTTCTGTTTCGGTTTGTAACAATATCAAATGATGCATTTACTATAATAGGTTCTTATGGGAAGACTGAGGTAGTTTGGCAATTGCAGATGAATCACATGTTTGAGAAGCCTGAGGTGCTTGAGAAGCTTGAGCTGCTTCAGATGGTTGGGATTGAGAAGCCTCGGCAACTTCAGATGCTTGGGATTGAGAAGGCCCTTGGGAAGCACTTGCTTGTCTCCTTTGCCTTAGTTGCATACTTTGTTGTCCGCTACTTTGGTCTCCACCATCTCTCCTTCTTACCTAAAACAAATAATAATTAGGTAGGCATGATATGAAATTTTGAATAGTGAAAACATAGTTGAAACCGTGGCACTTACTTCAAGTTTTTCCTTGTCAACATTCCTCTTCCTAGTAGGCTTTATGTTGGGATTTCTAGGTTCCTAATAAGCAAAGTCATCAAGTTAGAAAAAAAATCAAATAGATTTAAATGTAAAACCATTTTGGATAATGACACATACCTTACAACTAATTCGATTATGCATTTCTCCACCGCAATTGCCACACTTTAAAGGGATGCTATACCTAGGAAGCTTTTATGGATTAGCAGGTTGTTTAGGCTCATCAACAGCTTGTTTTCTTGTCTTCTTAGGCCTATCAGGCTGCTTGTGGTATTTTGGAGGGAGTAATGGAGGTAAATTAATCTTCATCCACTGATTTTGGCTAGTCATAGGCATAATCATTGGTTCATAGGCTCTCAAATAAGCCTCTTTTTCTTGTACAGTGCAGCACAAAAGTCCTCTACATTCCCATGAAACCAACTTATTGCAGCACAAGCATGCAAACATGGTATTTCATTCAAATCTTAGGCATGACATGAACAAGAGTGGGCATTCAAATCAACAGCAAAGGTGCGGCCACTATGGTGCATCAATTCAAACCTATTCTGTCCAGCAGCCTTAGGAATGCACCACTGAGCTTTTCCTTTGTTTTTCTCTAAGATTTTTCTAATTCTTGGCCCAACTTGTCCATGCCATTTCTCACAGAAAACCCTTCTTCCAGCCATCAACAACATTATATACAAACGAATTCTTTTTAGCATAGTCAAAACAGGCTTGTCTCTGGCATCCATTATGCTACGGTTGAATGCCTCACAGAGGTTGTTCATAAGCATGTCACACTTGGAATCAGTCTTGAAATATGCCCTACTCCAATGCCTAGGATCTTTCTCTGCAAGCCAATCATGTGCAGGTTTAGACAATTCCAACATCTTTCTCATCTCTGCATCAAACCATGGCATTGTTGTGGCCCTAGCAATTGCTTCCATTTGATGTTTCAAAGCAAGACCTCTATGTTCCAAATAGAAGTTTCCATACAGATGTTTCAAACAATGTCTATGCTCTGCATGAGGGAATAGAGCTAGCATCAACAACATCTATTAAACCTTTTTGTTTGTCAGTCATGAAAACTCACATCAATGAGTCTACCAGTTCCAAACTCTTCACCATAAAAACTCACATCATACCCATCGCCATATCCCAAATCTTTAGCCATTCCAAATAGCTCTAACATGGACATATAGTCAACCTCACAATAATCAAACCAACTCACTTCACCACCCAAATAACCATTCACTGTCCCTTCTATTTTTAACTAGTTTACCTCCATGGCAAAACTTAAATTTAACAACCTCGTCAGCATCTTTATCTGTGTAAGAGGAAGATTCATTTAACAAATAGACAAAGGTAACAAAAACAAAACAAGGACCACACTTAACAATAAAAGGAATTTGAATGAAACATAACATGTTGCATGATTATTTGGTGGTGGATAGCACTTCCCCTAACTCATTTTCTTAATTGTGAAATACAATCTGTTTTTATAATTCAAAATCCATTTCTGTCATGTTGTTGTCCGATTTAATTTATATAGCAAATCAACTCTAAAAATCCCAAAAATTTGTGTGCGTGTAGCTTTGCATGTCTAGTATCTGCGTATAAAATTTCGTAGACTTTAGATAGGTGTAAGTAGGTACAATAATTTTTTTTCAGTGGCTGGTCAGTAAGGACAGCAGCCCAGCCTTTGTGACATTTTAAGTAGTTAGATAAAACAATCTCCTGCAGGAAAGACCCTTATTTTCATATGCTACAATTGACAAATCTTAGTGTTACTAAGGAAAATCAATAGGATATTTGTGTGCTACTTTGTGGTGTGCTTTTAATCCTATCAGCATACGAAAAAACAAAAAAAACTCCAGCAACACACAACAACCAGACAAGGAACATACAAGGACCATACAATGCCACACCAGGACCAACACAAAGTCAAAAAGTACACAAAAAAACAAAAAAAAGTCGAACAACAGTACAATACACATGCCAAAATCAAGAAAATCGAGTGAGAATTGGGTCCACTTACATATCGGTTGACAACCTCCAGATTCTCTAAGCACCACCATCTTCGCACTTTCTAGCCTTAAAGTCTAACACCAAACAGTGATTTCTTCTCCGGATTCTCCCAAAATTGAAGCCCACCTCAGAATTTCACAAACCCTAAGCCCTCTTCTCCAAATTCTCCCTTCTGAAAGTGAAAAAAACCCTTATTCGCAGAGGTTAAAGATTAAAACGAAGTGGGGCCCAAAGCTTGTAACGGAACGTTAATAATCATGACGGAACGGGTAAATTGAGACTGTTTTTCAAATGTTGGGGGGTATTTTGAGACGATTGCAAACACATGTGGTAATCTGAGATAAGTTTAAAAGCACAGGGGGCATGTACATAAATAAGCCTTTATTTTATTTAAAGCCACGTGGCTCTATACAATTGGATGTGTGGGCTCCACACATGTGCCATGTTAGCAATGTAACAGAAAATTTGACGGAAGCTAACGACAGGGACTATTTTGATGTGTGGAGGGTAACGTTAAGGACCATTAGTGTCATAAAAAAACGTTAGGGACGAAAGGTGATAATTTTGCAAACCTTAGAGACCATTAGCGATAAAAAGCCTTTTCTTTAATTTGGTTCTTTGGTATTTGGGTTGTCAGATTTTGGGGGCTTGTATTTTCTCAACAGCCGTTGAGATCACTTAGAGCACCTCCACCCCAAAAGGCAAGGGCAAGGCAAAGGCAAAGGCAAGGGCTGATACTATTCACGTGAATAGTGGCAGCCTTGCCTTTTTTGGTTCCACCCCAAAGGGCAAGGGCAAGGGCAAATACTATTCACCTTACCTTATTTTCTATTTTTTTTTATACTTAACCCATTAATTTTGATAAGCTTTTCAGATAATATTTTCGGTTTTCATGTGTCACTATTTATTATAAAATTCTCACCTAAAAATTCAGATAACATTTTCGGATAAAATTTTTGAATTAAATTTTCAGTTGCCACGTGTCCATCAAATTTCAAATAACATTTTCGGATGAGATTCTCAGTTGCAACGTGTCTTATTTCAGATAAGATTTTTGGATATTTATTTAAAAAAATTATAATTTCATATTTCAGATAATATTTATTTTTTGATACAAATGGAAAGTAGTAGAAAAATATGAGTGGAGAGTAAAAAATATTGGAAGAAGAATAGTTGCAAGAAAAAAAATGATTACAATTTACAAATATTGGAAGGAGAAGAGTTTGTATGAGGATTTGGTGTGGAAAGTGAATAAAATTGTTATGTATTTATAAGGAAAACATTCATAATTTTTTGGTATTTTTTTTAAAAAAATTTTGAATTTTTTTTGAATTTTTTTCACTCGTTGACGTCAGGGCCTTCGGGCTTGAGCTCATGCAGGATTTGCCTGGGGCTTGCCCAGGCTGGTGGGTCCCAGTGTTTGCTCGTACTGGTTTTGTTGGGCTCTCAGGGGGCCTGTTGCCAAGGCAGAGCCCCTGCGCTGGACATGCTCTCAATGGTTGAGATGGCGCCTCAAATGAGGGTTCGCAAAAAGGAGTTCCCACCTTAGTTGTGCGCTAAACTCAAAATCTTCAATTCCACTGAGTGGGCCTAATCTAAAGCCTTAGCCCACCCATTTCCACATGGACTACCCAAATCCAGTAAATCAAACCAGGTTTTCAATTTCTTGAGCGAAAGGAAAAGGAAAATAAAAAAGATCCAACAACGCTCGCTCTCCTCTATATAGGGGTGGGCATTAGAATCGCAAAACCAGCAAAATCGAACCGAACCGAATTCAAAAAATTCAAAAAAAAATCGTGTTGACTGAAAAAGTAAAAAATTGAAAAAAAATCCAAACTGAACTGGTTCAGACCGGTTCCGATTTCGATTTTTCAACACACAGAACTGGTTCAATCCGAACCAATCCAGTATAATTAATTTATATGTATATTTTTATATTATATATATTTATAATATATTTTTTACACATGGCTCTTTTTTATTGGTTATATATGGTGTTACCGTAGGCGTGCATGCACACGATCAGCACAAAACTTATAACTCGATTAGGTTTTTCCCTTCAGCCGATTAGGTTTTCACGATTTGGGAAAAAGCCGATTAGGTTTTCACGATTAGGTTTTTCACGACCAAACCTCTTCTCCCTCAGCCTTCCTCTCTCTCATCCTCTCTGACAGAGGCTCTGTCAGCGCCAATCCTCTCTTTATTCTTCACTTTTAGTTTCTTGAGGTTCGTATCTCTATCCTCCTGCTCTTGCTTTAAGTTTTTGTACCTGTTTAAATGTTTGTGGCTTTAAAGTTTTTTTGAGCAGTTAATGGAGTCGAACCAAGCCAAACCCGGCCTACTGTGCAACCCTGAAGCCTCTCAGAGAACCCTGTATTATATTCTCACATTTCACGCTTTTCTCATTTATGATGCGTATTTTTGCTATGTGTAGACCTTTCAATCCTTGAATTCTTTTTTAAAAAAAAATATTTTTTGAAGGTACCCATATGTAACTGGTACATCTGTGGTGGCTCTGAAGTACAAAGATGGAATTTTGATGGCTGCTGATATGGGAGGTTAGATGCCAATCCAATTTAGATTGTGTTTCAAATTTTAATTATTTTTTGACATAAAGGTTAAAGTCCATCGCTTTATGAACAATGCTTATCATCTCTTCTTTTGGAGTTTCAATGCTGTTTACGTTGCAAAAGTTAGACACCCATGTATGTTCCTTTTCATGGTTCTGTTTCAGTTTGTAACAATATCAAATGATGCATTTACTAATAGGTTCTTATGGGTCTACCCTGCGATACAAGAGTGTGGAACGAATGAAGCCTATTGGAAAGCATTCTCTTCTTGGTGCAAGTGGAGAAATAAGTGACTTTCAAGAGCTATTACGTTATCTTGATGAGCTCATGTAAGCATTGTTCTCAAGAAAAATTATGTAGAAGATACCTTCTCTAATGCTTTCATTGTGATTTTTGCTATGCTTCTTGGTATCATTTGCAACTGGAGTTAAAAAGATTATTCATTTTGAGTCTTATGGTTGTAGCCTATATGACAACATGTGGGATGATGGCAACTCTTTGGGACCTAAAGAGGTCCACAACTATTTGACCCGTGTGATGTACAATAGGCGTAACAAGTTCAATCCACTGTGGAACTCTCTTGTCCTTGGTGGAGTGAAAAAGGGACAGAAGTACCTTGGCATGGTAGGCCTCATATAATCCTTCCCTTAACGCGTTGTAGCATGCTGTGTGCAATTAGGAAAGCTGATTATTTATTTATTTATTTATTCAAGAATAAAGTTTCTGAATGAGCTGACTTAGTTACTTGTCATATTCTTTTATCCCTATCCAGGTTAGCATGATAGGTGTAAATTTTGAGGACAATCATGTAGCTACAGGATTTGGAAATCACCTTGCACGGCCTATTCTTCGTGATGAATGGCATGAGAACTTGACTTTTGAAGAGGGTGTAAAGCTACTGGAGAAGTGCATGCGTGTCCTTCTCTATCGTGATCGGTCTGCTGTCAACAAGCTTCAGGTATAGTAATTCATTAATCTTATTTACTCTATCTTTTGTCATCCTATAATAATAACAGTGCTATAAGCTATCGATTCCATAATATTAAGGCTTGTAAGAAATGATGATTTGACTAGCAATTACTGAGGGCCTTCTTATCTGTCTATCTTTTTATTTTTTTTTATTTGCCATATAATTCACCTATCTGTTATCTTTAATCGTCTTCAACATTTATAAACCTTTTTAAATATGAAACCTGGTAAACCTTTTTTAATATATTTGAAGTGTTTTGTTTTTCTATTGTTGTAACTTCTCTCTCTCTCTCTCTCTCAATCTCTCTCTCATACAGACGTTCAAATAGGTTTTCACTAAACTTTTGTCACTCTTGATCTTACTAGTTTGTCATGTAAGAAATTCTCATGAGCCTGATAAGTATTGTAATTCCCTGTCACTGGTGAAGTGCTAGTTATTTACTGGACTATTAAATGGGCTTTAGCTCCTGAAAGTGTTTAAAGTTGAGACAGAGGAAAGGAAAGGAAAAGTATTATGCTAATGAACATGATTGCATGGTTTTGATTTCAATTTTCTGTCGGAATATTTTCCTATTTCTACCCAACAAGTTTTCACACATATGCTCTGTATATATTTTATGCAAATGACAAATCACATTGTACAATGAGTTGCTTGGTAGAATTTACTCATCGTTTCTATTGGCCATAATTATGAAAGGAAGGATTTAGGTGATGATGGGTCATTTAAGAGGGAAATTGTTTTCGATCTTTGGATGTGCTTAATGCTAGATATTGTGGTTATGAACATCACGTGATTTTAAACACCACCTTCGTCTCTGAAGAGGTGCTGAAGGTTTGTGGCATATTTTTGTGGATTTAGTTTGGTGTGAAACAATTTCCTCTGTTTTGCCTCCTTTGCTAGTGTTTAAGGATCTTGATAATTTTGTGCATTGTAAGGGTGGAGTGTATTGTTTTGCTTGAACATGGATTGGCACTTCCTTGTAAGATGACACATGTTAAACTTTGAAATTGCAGATTTCCAAAATCACTGAAGAAGGTGTAACCATCTCTCAGCCCTACTCTTTGAAGACTTTCTGGGGTTTCTCTGCTTTCGAAAATCCAACATTGGGTGCTGAAGGATCATGGTAGAGTTCTTGTTTGTTCTACATGGTTATTGAACCTCCACAGTGCTTCTGTGGTAGGAGTGTTTTATAAGTTGAGCTAGGAGGGGATGGCTTTAATCAGTCTTAGTTTGACAATTGGAAAGTTTCTTTAGATTATAAAATATTTTTGGAGCCGTCAGATGTGAAATGTATGATCTAAATTCTTTGTGATGAGACGATTATATTTATGGTCTCTAGATGGAAGGCAAACTGTCGGAAGCTTGAAACACTTGACCAAAAATGTTCACGTCCTAGGTTATTGTTGCGAAGAAAATTAGCGTTTTACAAGAATAGATTATTGCGTCAACATCTTAACGCAAACAGTATCATTTTGATGGATTAATGTTTACTGATAAAACACTGTCTATTGAACATACATTGAAAGTTCATAAGCGTGGTAATGGAACATTGTCACATGGTATGACCAATTTATGTGCTATAATTAAGTGGGCGATGGAAGTTTTACTTTAGGGTATAGTATTATAACCGATTTGCGTGTTAAATATGGATGAATCTTGGCTAAAGCATACATAAAAGCAAAAACAAAACATTACCTGGATCTAGCTTTCTGGTATGCCTGACTGAGTTGAATCTTAGACCAACAAATTAACAATCAAAATGAATTTTAGGTAAAAACACTTTATTTCCAAGAGAGTACATGTAATGTTTACAATAATTTGGATGAGTTATCCACTACCAAGGAATATTTTATATGAGATGACACACATTCTTTATTGTTATGGAAACAAAAAACAAACAAATAAATAAAATAGAAACATCAGTAACCAAGTTTTATGCAGCTAGTGCTTGTAAGCTTGGAAGTGTGGGCTCATTCTTATGCTTTTCTTGGGGGAAAATATCATGCCATGAAAGTCTTAAGCTTGGCATTTTGCACCAGAGACATATATGAGCTGAAAATGCGGGCATTTTGCACCTGCAAAAACAAAGATTAAATAGCAAACTGTAAGGATGAGAACAAAATGAAAATAAATACTCTTTTGAAGTGTACAAAGTTTGCTGTGCTCCTAGTATTTTGCTAAGACAAAGAAAGTTGAACCCCATTTTCATCAAAACTAAAACTTCTGGTTGCTGTTTCTTGCCATGGTGTAGTCATTTTCGTGTGCATATGCAAGGTTTCCTATGCAGAAGAGATGACGCTGGCGTCCCAGCCCCCCCAACAGGGTCATGACCGACGACAGCGCCATCTCTCCTGTGTAGCGAACCTCTCAATGCTTTACTCTCCTTCCATCTATGATTTGGTTTTGCTCTACGAAAGAGGTATTTTGTAGTAACCCATCATGGCTTTGAATATTCTCTGTATACTTATCCAGACTGACTCCAGCCATACATATATATATATATATTTTCATGAAGTAAAGACTCAGCCACAAGCATATATGTCAGCCCCAATAAACCAGTACACAAAATTTACATGTTACATATATAATTCCATTCAATTATGAGGTCATTTGTGGAACGTCAGCCGTACCATATATAAGACAGGAGCTAATAGGAGACCTATGCTAGCTATTGTCTGGGGTATCTTGTCTCAGCTCGGCAAAACTCTAAAATGTTAGAGTTTTGCTATTCAAGCTGGGTTTTGTGTAGAGGTCTGTTAGAGAGAAAAGAAGAAAGATGAAGAATGCGTTTATGAATAACTGCTCTGCTTGCTCACGAAATCAGTGAGCAAGACTTTTGTATATTCTCCATGTAAGAAAATGAGCTCACATAGTAAGTACTACAAACCGTTAGCTCTGAGCTGGATTCACACAAGCATCAGTGAATCTCAGCCATCCATCTGTCTTAATTCTAGCTCTTGGCTATTTCAGACTTTACATGTTTGTAGCCTTACACTTGTCATTCTCTAGGACTAAGTGAATACACAATTAACACTCTAGGCTTAAAAGAAATCAGACTCACAACTTACAATTCTACACTCCCCTTTAAGTTTTGAGCTGATTTCACACCAAGCTTGTCTCTGAGATAGCAGAGTCGATCTTTAGCCAATGACTTTGAGAAGATATTTGCCAGCTGCTCATTTGTAGGACAGTAAATCAAGTTAATGATTCCTTCTTGCAAGGCATCCTTGATGAAGTGATACCTTTGATCAATGTGCTTAGTTTTATGGTGAGACACAGGGTTCTTTGTGATAGCAATAGCAGCTGTGTTGTCACAATGTAGTGGTGTAGCTTCAGCTTGAAATTCACCAAAGTCTTCCAAAACAAATCTGAGCCAAATTGCCTGTGTAGTTGCTTCAGAAGCACTGATGTATTCTGCCTCTGCCGTAGAAAGAGCAACACAATTCTGTTTGACTGATGCCCAAGCAAAAACACCACTGCCAAAAGAGAAAGCATACCCTGAAGAGCTCTTACTGTCATCCACTGAGCCACTCTAGTCACTGTCATAGTAGCCAATTAACATTGCATTCCTTCCTTTCACATACTCCAGCCCATAATCAAGTGTCCCCTGAATATACCTGAGAACTCTTTTAGCAGACCCATAGTGCTTATTAGTAGGACAATGCATAAATCTAGCAAGTAGACTAGATGCATACATTATATCGGGTCTTGTAGCTGTGAGGTATAGCAAGCTTCCCACAATCTTCCTATATTGCTCTTCATTTGCTGGACCACTTCCATCTTCTTTGCTTAACTTCTCAGTTGTAACCAAAGGTATAGAGACAGGTTTGCATTCATGTAGGCCAAACTTGCTCAACAAAGATGCTGCATATTTCTTTTGGTGAAGAAAAATGCTAGTGTGAGTTTGAATGACTCCCATTCCTAAGAAATGATACAAGAGTCCCAAGTCTATCATTTCATATTTCACCATCATGTCTTGCTTGAACTCCTCTAACATTGACTGAGAACTCCCTGTATAAACAATGTCATTTACATAAATGGACACTATTAGGATTTCTGCTTCTCCTCTGGTTTTGGTATAGAGAGTGGCCTCACTTTGACTCTTGGTAAATCCACATTGAGCAAAGTATGTGTCAATCTCACCGTACCAAGCTCTTGGTGCCTGTTTTAGGCCACAGAGAGCTTTATGAAGCTTGTACAACTTATCTTCACTCCCCTTGACCACAAAACCATCCGGTTGATCTATATACACCTCCTCTTCCAAGACACCATTTAGAAAAGCAGATTTGACATCTAGCTGATACAATTTCCAATTCTTTTGTGCTGCCAATGCAACTAGTGTGCTGATTGTATCAAGTCTAGCCACTAGTGCAAAGGTCTCATTGTAGTCAACACCTGATTTTTTAGCATAACCTTTGGCAACCAGCCGTGCCTTGTTCTTATGTACTGATCTATCAAGGTTTAGCTTAGTTTTGAACACCCACTTAACTCCAATTATAGGTTTATCGGCTGGTCTGTCCACCAGCTCCCATGTTGAATTCTTCTCAATCATTGACAATTCATCCTTCATTGCTTTCATCCAAGACTCATCTTTAGCAGCTTCATCAAATTTTTCTGGTTCCATAATGCAAAGATTGCATTGGCTAGAACATCATCCAGATTTCTACATTTTAATGGAGTGTGATCATAAGCTTGAGTATTTCTCATGCTGCTGCTTATATCACTTGTTCTTGGGGATTGAAAGTGATCATAACTTCTAGAAGGTGTCACTTGTGATGAATCATTTGGCAGATCAGGTTGTTCTTTATGATTGATCACACTTCCTTGTTTATCAGACATTTGTTTCTAATCCCAAGCTGCATTCTCATCAAACACAACATCCCTTGAGAGTAGAATCTTCTTAGTAGCAGGATCATACACTCTATAACCTTTTTCACAGATTGCATATCCCACAAAAATACCCTTGGTGCTTTTTGCATCTAACTTCTGCCTTACTTCACTTGGTATGTGTACATAACACAAAAAACCAAATATTTTGAGATGAGCCAGACCTGGTTTTCTCCCACTATATGCCTCAAATGGTGTTTTATCTCCAAGTGCTCTAGTAGGGCACCTATTTAGCAAGTAGACAGCTGTATGTACAGCTTCTGCCTACAGATAGTAAGGCAATCCTTTCTCATGAAGCATTGCTTTTGCCATTTCCACCACAGTCCTATTTTTCCTCTCCACCACTCCATTTTGTTGTGGAGTATAGGCCATAGAGAGTTGTCTTTGGATCCCTTCAACCACACATAGCTTGTTGAATTCACTAGATCGATGTGAACTCTCCTCCTCTATCACTTCTCAAACACTTCACCTTAAAGCCACTTTGCAGTTCTACCATTGACTTGAATTTTCGAAAGCAATTCAGTGCATCAGATTTGTATCTGAGAAAGTAAACCCAGACCATTCTTGAAAAATCATCTATAAGGAGCATGAAGTACCTGTTTCCAGCAATGGATTCATTTTGCATAGGTCCACACAAATCCACATGAACTAGCTCAAGAGGATTGCTTGCTCTCCATGCTTGGTTCTTTGGAAACCATTCTCGATGCTGCTTCCCAAATTGACATCCATCACAAACTCCATCAACCTTTTCCATGAATGGCAGTCCATGCACCATCTCCTTCTCTTTGAGTTGACTTAGTCCTTTTAGATGTAAATGGCCCAACCTTTTGTGCCATTTCCAAGTAGAATTAGATACACTTGCCTTTAGTGCGATATGATCATTAGGTAATAGTGCCAAGGGATAACACCTATTCCTTTTCATCTCCACTTTGATTACAAGACACTCTAGTGAAGGTCCTTCAAAGATGCTGCACACCATTCCTCCAAATACTAGATAGTAACCATGTTCATCCATTTGGCCCACACTTAGTAAATTTTCTTTCAGCTCGGGAAGATACATCACTTCCTTGATATACTTTCTGCCTTTGGTAGTATCAATTGCCAATGTGCCCATTCCAGCTACATTCACAAGCTCACCATTTGGCATTTGCACCTTGCCTACCACATTTGTTCTAATATCTGTCAGCAAACTCCCATTTCCAGTCATGTGGTTGCTACACCCACTATCTATATACCATTCTCCAGTAACATTTGTGGCAGCAATGGTACTGTTGGCATAGAATAGGTTTCCAGTCACTTCCATTTGATTTCAACAGTTTGCTTTCTGCACATTCTTGCTTGCAGTACACTCCTTAGCTAAATGTCCAAATTTATCACAATTGTAACACTTAGGCTTTCCTTTGTATCTGCATTCACCAAAGTGGAATTTAGAACACACTTTACACTGTGGTTTTGAACCTTCTTGACCCACTGTTGATGATGAGTTCTGTGCAAAATTGATGCGTTGAGACTTGGAGTTTGATTCCCATGGTTTGCCTTTTGGATTCCAATTCTTCTGAGACTTAGATTGACCATATTGATAACCTCCCTTGTTCTGGCTTTTGGAATTCATAGAAAAGGAGGCAAATGCCTTCTCAACAATATCAGTATTATGCAGCTCAAATCGCTGCTCTTGACTCTTTAGAATGGCAATGACTTCCTGCAAATCTACCGTTTCCAGATTCTTTGTATTCTCAATCACCAGACAAATAGGATCATAAACCTTATTTAAGCTAATTAGAACCTTCTGAACAAGCCTTTCATTAGATAGGGATTCACCATACGTTTTCATTTGATTCATTAGCTCATTCAAACGAGTAAGATATACAGATAGAGATTCATTTTCATGCATCCTAGTATACTCAAACTCACGTCTAAGGTTTTGAAGCTTTATCGACCTGACATGGTCACCACCATGATACTCTCCATATAGCAGATTCCATGCCATTTTAGTTGAATCAGCATTAGCAATGCGAGGGAAGATCTGATCAGAGACTGAGTTCTGAATAATCCCCAGAGCTTTTGCATCCTTCATAAGAATCGCAGCCATCTTCTCATCATCTTCCTCTGTAGATGTTTCCTCAGTTGCCTTCTTCTTCTTCGATTCTGGAATCGTAATTCCTTTCTCCACCAGAGCCCACAACCCATATGACTTGAAGATGGTTATCATCTTGATTCTCCAGAACTCATAGTTCTCACTGGAGAAGATCAGAGTTCTTACTTCTGAGCCTCCAGATCCAGACATTGCTAATCTCAGATAACCACAACCAACTTGTTTCAGATATCAAATGAGCTCCAATCGATTGCCACGAGCTTGAGTGAGCACCGATTAGTTTGATTTCACATATTTGAAAAACGCCCAGATTCAATTGATCGAACCTGGCTCTGATACCATGTTAGAGTTTTGCTATTCAAGCTGGGTTTTGTGTAGAGGTCTGTTAGAGAGAAAAGAAGAAAGATGAAGAGTGCGTTTATGAATAACTTCTCTGCTTGCTCACGAAATCAGTGAGCAAGACTTTTGTATATTCTCTATGTAAGAAAATGAGCTCACATGGTAAGTACTACAGACCGTTAGCTCTGAGCTGGATTTACACAAGCATCAGTGAATCTCAGCCATCCATCTGTCTTAATTCTAGCTCTTGGCTATTTCAGACTTTACATGTTTGTAGCCTTACACTTGTCATTCTCTAGGACTAAGTGAATACACAATTAACACTCTAGGCTGAAAAGAAATCAGACTCACAACTTACAATTCTACATAAAATGCATCATTATCCGCCGCAGCAAATGCTCGCCCCCACAATTTGTAGTCAAATGATACAGCTTAAAGAGAGAGCAACTTGAACCACAAACACAAAAAGCAGCTAAAGCAGCAATTGATGCATAGAGTTAAAAACTCTCTCTCAATCACTTCATGGGAGAAATGCTAAGCTGGTCCATCAAGTGGACTGATAAAAAATTACAAGGCATCAACAGTTATGTAATTGGAAGCGTCCGGCTTTCCAGATTCCTATTCATTTAAGGAGTGTCACTTGTTTGTTATAAATATAGGAGAATCTAAAAGTGAAGGATGCTATGCGAGCATCGACATGTCTTCTAATGATTTAAATCGTCCTCGTTGTTTAGTCAGTTGATTACCAACAAAATAGGCGGCTACAAGCATTGAGTTGCACTATTGAGTGCTCACATTATGTAGAATCCAGTTCAATGGTTTAAGAAGGAAAAGGGCACAATCATGTCTCAGCCTCTCATGCACTCACTCTTCAAGGGTACCCTTTATTCAGTGAATGGCATATGCAGGTCTCATTCGTTCATTGAATCCTCCTCAGGATCCATCCACATTGTTATATACTTTTTTTAGGTTATATTGGGAGGAAAGACAACCCACCACCACTGTGGTGGAACCCATTGGCATATTGTTATATACTTCATTTTAGGTAGGTGACTTTGCTACCAATTGTGTACGGTTCCCTCCTTTTGGTAACTGACAGGAAGGGCAAGCCCCACCACACCCAAGATAGAGAGAGAAGGGGCTAGGGATAATGTTAAGGGTTTGACCCAAAAAAGAGGAGTATAGTTTGTTGAGGACTTTTCTAAACATTCAAACTCAATGATTGAAATTAAAGGTAAATATAGCACCTTTCCTCATGACTTCATTTTGCAAATATGTATACTTGCAACTACACCTCATTTTGCAAATCAATAACGAAGCCGGAATGAACAAGATTGAAGATCTTAAATTTTTACAATCAAAGATCGGAATCGTATTAGACAATCATTAGACCCAAAAACTTACTTTGTTACGGAGTTAACCAACAATGTTGATCGAGCTTAAAAAATCTCTTGTACTACAATTCATTCTACTTTGTGAACTTGTAGAATGTTGTAGCTGCTTGGCTTTTTTTGTTGTTGCTGACTTTTCATTGCAGATCACTCATCAACTTGTTTCATTTGATGCAGACCCATGAGAAGCTTTGGACCTCTCAGGTTTAAATATCTCATTATACAAGCAATAAATAATAGAGCATCCGTGACCACTCTTTGGCCATTCTTCTGGTGCTAGCCTCCCTTACTGGTTGGCCGCAAAAATATGTACGGCAGAAGACATTCCACTACTATAATTTGTACACACAAAACATATACATATTTATCAATGTGTATCTACACTACACCTGGCTGTATCTATCATGATCATGCTGCTACTCCTAATATGTATAATTCTTTATCAACGAGATAGGTTTTAAATCTGGAAATCCTTTCAACGTTGATAAGAAAGATATCACTAAATTAAGAGTAATGAAATTATAAAATGGAATTATTATAAACTTTCATACGAGGAATGAGATCATTGCTATTTCTTTGCACTCGTATCCCTCGTATTTATGTTTGGAAATCAAGAAATTAGTACAAACTGAAACCCCTTTGAATCTAATTCCAGTTTAAACCAATACAACCAGCTAGGCTTCAATTTGATTCACAAATTCGTAGACATCCGCTTTAGAAGTTTTTGAGAAAGAAGCTAACAAAGCTAATAAGAGTACTAGTCGAAAAGGGAAGAAATTTTGAATATAAGCGATAATCAAAGGAGAAGAAATTTTAATTTTTGTACTAGCCTTTTCGGCTAACGGCCTCTGTGCCTGATCTATGAATGCAATATATCGCTAATTTTTTTATAAAAAATAATTAAAAAAAGGGAACAAGAAAAAATAATAATTTCATTTCATTTAGCATTTCCAAAATAGGAGTCTTTCATTCTCATCCTCCAGGGACCAAGATTCATTCCGCAAACGAAATGGGGCCCTTAAGACTCCGTTTGGTTCATGGAACGGATTTGAAGGGAAATCACTTCCCATGTCATTTACCAAGGGATGGGAAATGGAGATTCATTTCCCATGTTTGGTAATCCTTGGAAAGTAATCAAAAAATACCACTTTATTTTCTTTCACATGTTTGGTTTGTGTAGGAATGTAAAAAAAGTTTGTTTAATTTTCCAATTATATCCATATAAAATCAAATAAACAAAGATGACTTATTTATGGATATGCCTCATGTGCTTTTAAAATAGTCTCATATTACCACTTTTTCTTTGAAATGTCTCAATATACCACCTATACTTTCAATAAATGTCTCACGTTAGCTATTCCGTCATATTTGAGAGAAGTTTCGTTAGCTGATGAGGCCCCCACTTCTTCTCAATCTCTTAACAAGGAAGATGAAGGGTTAGTCAGGTTGAGAAAAAGGGGAATTTGGGAAAAGAAGGTTAGGTTGAGGGAATTTCAGATACTATTCCTTCTTCTCCCAAATTTGAAATCCCCAAATCAAATTCCACATTTTCTCCCAAATGTGAAATTCCCAAATCAAATTCCCTCAACCTAACCTTTTTTTTTTTGGTTGAAATTGCAATTCATTGCAAACCCCCAAAGGGGTAGAGAACAGTACAAACAAAGCCGAGCAAAAGCATCGGCCAGTAAACAAACAGGAACAAATCTAGCTAAAACTAGTACAGTATAGCATGAAGATCATGTTCCCGAGCCAAAAACTACAACGCCAAAAGCCAACAAAAAGGCATTTAGCCCACATAAAGGCATATAGCCCACAAAGAGGCATTACGTCCACATTCAGCATAAAGCCCACATTAAACATAAAATACATAAAATAAAACACAGGAAACCTAGCTGCCACAACCAAAGAGAAACTCCAAGCCGCCACCACCAGCAAAGAGAAATTCCACGACTGTAGATGGACAAATCACCAATCACCACCATGAAGAACCAAACACCCGTAGGTCAGCAAACCAAGCCAAACATCCCTCAAAACATATCCCACCCGAGATTCACTAACAGATCCAGAATTAACACAACCATTACATCTAAAAGACAGCAGCCAACAAAAAGAGAATGAGAAAACCCATTCCACAGCCAGGAGGAAAAGAACCAAGAACCTGGAAGGAGGTGGTGCAAGCACCCAAGCTAGAGCTCTACACACCTTCCAATAAATACGCGCCAAAACGCGTTCAAAATTTGCAGCTACAAACCAAGGATGAGGCCAGATCAAAGGGGATGTGAAGGAATCCAGATGAGCCATGGATTTTGGGTCGATATGGAGCAGGATCTGCAGGGTAAAGATGATGGTCATAGGGGAAATCATGCCCATGGTCTCCATCCCACCATATTGGAAAAAGGAGGAGAAGGAGAGAAGTGTGTTTCAAGGAGGAAGAAGGAGGAAGAAGGAGGGGAGGGGAGGGGAGGAGGGGCAGACCACCTCCTCCCCAAGATGTAGCGCTGAAGGGGTGGGGGGTTTTTGTTTCTCTACTAGGGTTAGAGAGAGATGCGGCTCCCTCAACCTAACCTTCTTCTCCCAAATTCCCCTTTTTCTCTCAAATTCCCCACTTTCTCAACCTGACTAATCCTTTATCTCCCTTGTTAAGAAATTGAAAAGAAGTGGGGGCCATATCAGCTAACAGAACTTCTCTCAAATCTGACAGAATAGCTAACGTGAGACACTTATTAGAAGTATATGTGGTATATTGAGACATTTTAAAGAACATATGGTAATCTGAGACTATTTTGAAAGCACAGGGGGCATATCCATAAATAAGCCAAAAAAGAATGCATTTAAAGCTATATTGTAATTCTAAGCCGGAAAAAATGGAAAAAATGCACTTATTAGAACCAAGCCGGAAAAAACGGAAAAAAAACCGTGTTGACCAAAATCGGATTGAGTTGACCAGAAAGCGAACCGAACCGATTCTAGTTCCGATTTGCTGTTTTAAAAAACCGGACCGGACCGATTATTTATTAAATATATTATTTTAAAAAATTATTTAAATATGCTATATTATGATTGGTTGGTGCACCGATTCTACATTCTTTGTATAGAAAGGGCTGCACATAACCTCACCCCATTTATCCTTTTATTTCTAACCCTAACTCAGCTCTCTCCCCATCTCTCCTCCCCTTCATAATTTTCTCAGCCGCCCCTTCTCTATTATCTCTTTCTCCTCATCCTCTCTCTCTCCGACGAAGAAGGTGAAGGAGGTGATGATGGCGAGGGACACATAGACGACAACGACAATGAGAGTGAGCCCATACCTTCATCGATGATGATGACGACAACGATGAGAGGGTGAGTTCTTTCTTTTCCCCTATTTTTTTTTTTGTGGTTTTTAGTAGATTCCAAAGATTTTTCTCAAATCTGTTTTTCTGAATTTCTATTAATCAATATTGGCCATGTTGGTTGTCCATACCTTCATGACTTTCTCAACGCAGCCCAGCAAGATAAACAGTGGTTGGTCTCCATAAGATGGCAGAGAACTGGACCAACTTGGCATCTCATACACATACCCAATTGCCAAAACTGGTATTGTTCCCTAAATTGGCTCCAATTCGAGCTGACATGGACGCCCTCCCATTGCAAGTAAACCCCAACTTCTTTTTATTTTTTATTCTGTCAGTTTGAGAAAGTTCTTCTTCTTCTTTTTTTCTTTTTCTTTTTGTGTTAATTTTATAAGCGTAGTAATTGATGGGTTGTGGGGTGGGGATTTTTAGGAGCTTGTTGAGTGGGAGCACAAGAGTAAGGTTGATGGTAAAATGCACGGTTGTGGTCATGATGCTCACACCACCATGCTTGTTGGCGCTGCTAAGTTGCTTAATCAACGGAAAGACAAACTTAAGGTCAGTTAAGTTTTATGTTGTGCAGTATGAGCACAAGTTTCAAATTTTCTGTGGATTCAACAAGGAAAAACGTCACTATATTCAAAGGATTTACATCTCATATTTCACCAAATGCAACTTTTGAATTATTCTTATAAACTGGTATTTTTAAACTTTTATTAATTTATTCTTTTGTGTTTTTGGTAGAAACAGAGATCATTGGAGCTTCTGAGATGCGGCAACAAAGAAAATGGAACTGTAATTTAAAAGTTGGTTGTAATTTAGTTTGCTTCATTATAAATTTGGTTGTAATTTTAAATTTAATGTTGGATTATTTTATTATTTTATTATTTTATTATTTTATTATTTTATTATTTTTGCTAAAGAATGATTGCTTGATTCAATATGTTAAGTGGGCCAATTGTGATTTTTAAGCCCAAAAAGTTTAAAAATTCGGTTGGGCTTGAAGCTGGAAATATCCACACAAAAAGCAAAAACAAAATTGGGCTTAAAGCTAGAAATGTAAAACAAAAAAAAACAAAAAAATCGATTGGGCTTTGGAGTCGGCCTAAACCGGGAAAATCGAAAATCGAACCGAATATAACTGCTCCGGTTTGGTTCAGGTTTGTTATTAAAATGTCATAAAAATTGGACCGGACCGGATCGATGAACAGTATCGGTTTTGGTTTTAATTTTATATGAAAATCGTGCTGAACCGGACCGTGCCCAGTCCTAATTCTAAATTGTTCATGGGGGCAATATGATCATGAAAAATGTGTATTTAATATTGGCTCATTTTCCCAATCTTTCCTATGAAGAGGAAAACAAAATCCAAGGGAGAGGAGGGCTTCACTTTCCCTCATACTTTCTCATGTGCAAGGCAACAATTTTCCATGCCTGGACTTACCAAATATGGAAAAGCAATTGATTTCCTATCCCTAAGCCTTCTTTGCCATGAACCAAACGGAGCCTAAAGAGGTTGCTAAACTCATGGGTCAGAAATTAGTTTTTTTTCTTTTTCCAATAGAAATTAGTTGACATCACCAAAACCTATGGGCTTTCCCGCCAAGTTCTCATTCTACCAGAACAGAACCCATCATTCTGAATCATGGGTCGTGCCTGATGGTGAGGCTGAATTTGAGCTCAAGCCCTTTGTTTTTCTTCACCTTCTTCATTGTCTTCAACACCAACCCAGATCAAGCAACCAGGGCACTTGGCCTCTATCTTGCTAAAAAACCCAACTAGTCGCTCAGCCACCCAACAAATCCACTCTCACATTCTCACCTCTGGCTTTCTCCTCCATCACTCCATTTCAACTACCCATCTTTTCCTCTTCAACACTTTGCTTCGTTGCTATTCCTTTGGCCCTTTCCCTCGTGAAGCTTTCACTTTCTACAAACACCTCCAACATTTTTCGCTTTCCTTCGACTCCTTCACCTACTCCTTTCTTCTCCATGCCTCCATTACCTTAAAATCCAACAACCCAGGTACCCAAATCCATGCCCTCACCCACAAACTTGGTTTCCATTTCCATGTTATGTTCAAACTGCCTTGCTTAATATGTATGTTGCTTGTGGCTCTTTGCTCCTTGCTCTCCACATGTTCTACGAAATGCCCGATTGGAATTCTGTGACTTGGAATGTGATGATAACTGGTTCGGCCAAATGGGGTGAGCTTAAATTGGCTCGGTCTCTCTACTGTTGTGTCATGTTGTTTCCTTCTTTTTGGCCAGGTAGGCTAATGGAAGGATTTTTTGGTCCTTCTTCTCTTGAGATGCGTAGGCGTGCCACCACCAAGCCACTTGATGGCTTGGATGGAAAAATCGTGTGAGTGTGTTTGCGCTTCTAACTTTTAATCAAACGATTGATTGGCCAAGCAAGGAACCTCCTCTTGGCCTAGGTTCTTTTTCTTCCTTGAGGTCAAGGATGTTTGAGCTTTATATGACTAGTTTTAGGATTTTTGTGACAAGTGCAATGAATGTAAATGCAGTAAACAAAATGAAAAAAATCTAAGTGCGAGAAATGTAAATGCAGTAAACGAGATGACAGAAATGTAAATGCGATAAAATAGATTAAAGCGATAAAGACTTGAATTAAATTCGAATGTAAAGACAGTTGAAATTAAATTGCAAGAAAGTAAGCTTACACTAGGAAAACGAAGAACTTGGATAATCTGAAGAACTTGAAAGATAAAATCTTAGACTATGAATTGAAAAGTACAGGATAAAAAGATAGATTTTGTGTGTTCAGTCGGAGGTCCTCCTCTTTTCTTCTGACGACCTATTTATAGAGCTTCCTTCAGCTCACTGATCAGTTCATAATTGTATATCATTTTGTACCCCTCTAGCTTATGATTTGGTTATGTTATTGAGTTAAACTTGTGCTTTTAATCCCTTTTCTGTTTATCATTCTCATTGGGCCTTAGATAGCAATGGTGGCTTTGGATAGGAAAAGATGCAAAATGGTGCAAAAACAAGCAGACTGAGTTAGCAATTTGTTTCGGCCTTAACTTCCTCCTCCCAACTTGTATTGGCCCAATTAATATGTGGTTGGAAAGAGGAGATTCTGAACTGCAATATGGACTGCTCAAATATATCAATTGATGAAGCCAAGCCCAATCTCAAGCCCAAAACAAGCCCACAAGCTGACTGCAATGAAGTCAGTTCCAGTCTATGTTCGGCAGTCAACTTGTAAGGCTCAAAACGTACACTTATACTGCTCAGATGGGAATATATTCTTCATAAAAGTTGTTCCAATGGGTGTCTATTATGACATATCCAAATTTGAGCCCCATTGGATACATATTGAAACCTCAGGCCTTCCTACACCAAGTCTGGTGCAGAAGAATCTTTTTTTCCAGCAACCAAAAGAAAACCCACATGGGTTGGCAGTAAAAGGCAGCCACAATTGAACACTTTTGAAAACCCATGTGAAGAAAGCTTGAGGTGCAGCAGCAAAAGAAGTATGGGATGGAATTGATTCCAACCACACTAACATAGACAAGATGAAGTGGGAGTTATGGATTGTATTAAAAGAGGAATGGTGGTGTTGGAAT